TTTTGTGTTACTTTCTGGCAGTCATGTATCATTAACTACCATCTGATGATCAGAGCTTGTTACGTTAGCCTCAGTGTATCATTAACTACCATCTAATGATCAGAGCTTGTTACGTTAGCCTCAGTATATCGTTAACTACCATCTACTGATCAGAACTTGTTACGCTAGCCTCAGTATATCATAAACTTTCATCTAATGATCATTTAGAATTGATTTGTTTTTGTTGCTATTTTTTTTTTGTAAAAAAAATAGTCCATGTTACTTTTGTGTTTCTTTTTTATTTTAAATACTAAGAAGGTGTAGTATTATATTCTTACATTTATTTTAATTTCTGGCTGATATATCTTAATAGAAGTGATTTCTATTTTTAATGAAATAATTCAGTGTTTGTGAATAAATATAAACATGTGTGTGCATTAAACATGAAAAATATGAAATTACTAGGTTTTAAGCAGAAAGAAGCATAAAAATAAGAAAGGGGGAAAGGAAACGTTATCAGGCATGGAAACACCCGACTTATCACCTGTCAGACGTCCATTAGGACGAGGGTGTACTTTAGAAACTTCTGACAGGTGAGTATCATTATTTAAGGTGTGTTAGAATTTTCTAAGAATCATCTATAAATATTTTAAATATATGCTGGTGAGTTATGAAACTTTCGCTATAGGTATAGAAAAAATTATGCATCTCCAGGAAGAAAATATATTTTTTTAAATGTCAGTTAAGTTGAACAAATACACTTGCACAGAATTGTTTTCGAGTAACTAATTTTTAATATGTTAGCTCTTTTTTTTTTTTTAGTATAAAATCCAAATATTGATTATATCGAGTTTGTCAAGTGATAGTTATCCCTTCCCAAGGAATTTTATTAGAGTTTATTTTGTAAATACAGTACGAGAAGTAAATACTCCTGAAATGAATATGTGATCGACTTAAGCAAATCCTGTGAAATTTATAACATTTACTGAAGTTTAAACAACTTTGCTTTGGTGATAAGATTGAAGTAACAAATTTAGTTTTATTATGAAAATTGAATAAAAACTTTGTAAGGGCTTGGGCATTTAATGAAAGTTGTGTGTTTTTATATGTCTTGTCTCTGCCTAATTTTCTTTTTCCTTGTGTATGTCTATAAAATATTTATTTATGTACAACAAGAACCTCTTGTGATATTATTTATAAAACGTAGTGCCTAAAACTTTGCAGTTCAGAATCAGAATAGTTGAAATTTTCTATCAAAAAAAACTAAAACCCAAACTAATATACACTACCGTAAGCTAACAAGTACTTAAGTATTTGTATTCCAATAACATTTTGTAGTTTACCAGTCTCTACCCTGAAAAATATGTTGTGTAAATAATTATCCAAAAATATAATCCTGTATAGAGAGATGTCTAAAATGTTATTTGAAATTGAATTCACACGTGAGCGTTTGAAAGATGAGGTGATTTATATTTCTCTCACCAGGATGCACTCTACCATTTTCATGATGTAGTTTATGCAGCTCTCTTTAATCCGTTGAACTTGAATTAATAATGTTTCTTCAAAGTAGAAATATCTTTATTTTGCTCCAGTGAATATTGGAAACGTATATTTTCTTTTCTAGTGCTATTTAATGGATTTTTTTAATAGTAATTTCAAAAAAATGTTTGACATCTAATACTTAAAGTTTTGAATGATACTCATAACTGTAAATGATTTAAGTATAATTAACTTTTTCAGCAAAACAATCCAAGTAAGCCAGCTGATATCATTGGATGGTGGTGATATAATAAATGGCAATCTGGTAAGTTCCAAGGACGAGAGTGGTAGGCATGATGATGCGGATGAAATTATGGACAAGAAGAAAAGTGATGAATCTAGTCTCTTTGGGCAGCTAAACAATAGTCCTTATCAGCCTCCTACTGACCTAGAAATTCGGGGGGGTGGGAATCAATGCCACTAATTATTTATGATCTCGGCTGTAGGTGAGTCAATCAACTGATTTAATATGAAATCTGTGTTTTATGATTACACCTACAGAATATAATGGTGGAATAGGAAGGAAAGTTACTCAGTTTGTGGACTGCTTTCTATAACAGGAAGTCCCTTGTCTAAGCTAAGCTCCCATGAAGCAGATTATTAAAGTAGTACCAGGGGTAAAGCTAGATCGTTATTTGTTTAGGGTCTTCCTGTTGTGAAAAGCACTGTTTTTTTAACACGAGTAAACGGAGAGGTTATTTTTCTATTGTTTGTTATTTTGTTATAGCTGTTTTACTTGATCAACTGCTGTTGATATATCAGTTTTTGAGGCTGGAATTGATGGTGAGTATTCTCACCAGGGGGCTTTCTACAACCCCCACATTAAAGACAACTGGTGCTGAAACGGCTTTGAAAGTGAGAAGGATGGCTGAATATGAAGGTGGACTTAGGAGCAAGTGACTTAAATGTTTGGGAAGGAGTTATCTTCAGCCTTTAGCAACAGCTACACTTCAATCAAATAGATCATTTTGAAGCTTCATGTTCAAATCCCACAATTATCGTGAAGACAAAATAAATCTGACGGGGAAAAAACAAACCCCCCCCAAAAAAACAGTGACAATTGTATCATCGTCAACTTTTTTCTGAGGTCAGGTTAAACAGTAAGTGAATTTGATATTTTCTATTTACTGACCAAAGCAATAATGCTAAATTAAATCACTACAAAGTTTCAGAGAATTCAGTAAGCAAAGTTTTTGTATGTTAAAAGAGCATTTTAAATACAAGCCAGTTGTAATATGCCAAGACCTGTGCTCGGATTTCTTTACATGGATTGTCACAAAGGGCTTAATTAGTTAATCTTTAAGCACCCAAAGGTAATTTTGAGACAAACAGTGTTTATTATTATTATTATCAACTTCTGTTACTTTGATTTTTCTTTGTTGATTAATTTCTCATCTGCCTTTTGTAACTAATAATATGTAATGGATATTTCTCTCAGTGACTGCATGTAAATGGTATATCTTTTTATTTGTTCAAGATAATTGGTGTCAGATTTTGAAAAGTCACAAGGCTGTGACTCTCTGACACAAAGAGAGTAAAAAAACAAAACAAGAATGACACACTCTCTCACACCCACACATACAAACGAAAAATTACGAACCAAAAACTATATCACTTAAGATCCTGTGTGTTGCCTTTGAACTATAGTCATTTTATGTGTCTTTTAATGAAATTAAAAACTTTAACTATGTTTTTAACAGTAGAAACTTTTCGCTAAGTGTATATTTGTCTTTAAAATTGATTTAAATAAATATAAGGTCTGAAGTATTAGAAATCGCGGTAGTTATCAAGGGGCCCACCAGGTGAACTCCTGTGCTGATTTCTAATTTTTTGGTGTTCCTGTTTATTTTACGTAGGAATTTGTGATTAAGCCTTTTTTTTTATATTAAGTTTGTTGGTTACATAGTGTTATTCTCTAGTGAGCATTATGAATGAATCAGATGCAGAAGAGAGACTGACCTGTAATTTACTAATTGTGATTGAAATAAGCATGTTATATGATTATTTACTCAATGTTGTAAGGCTTGCAAGAATTTTTATGAGGCATTTAGATGATAGCTATGCTTCTAAATAAATATTTCATAAAGGAGCATAGATTACTTTGTTGGCCAGTGTTCTTTTCTCTATTATTATGTAAAATGAAATGTTTCATTTTTTACAAGCAAAGTTTCAAGGTTTCACAGACAGTTATTATATTTATGTAATGTGTAAGGTTGATAAATACATAGTGAAAAAGAAATGAACAAAATATCAGAATCTCTTGTTTTTTCTTAATTGGTCATTTTTTGGAAGTATCTTCTAGTATGTTAGTCATCAGGTGTGATGAAATACTGCTATTACAAACAAGCATTTTTATCATAGCAAAAATATTGTCAAATGAAATTTTTAAGCCTTTAAGTTAGATTAATGCAAGTTAAATACAACTAAAGTTTAATTAAAAAAGCCCCCCCAGTTGCACAGCTGTATGTCTGCGGACTTACGATGCTAGAAACCAGGTTTTGATACTCGTGGTGGGCAGAGCACAGATAGCCCATTGTGTAGCTTTGTGCTTAATTACAAACAAGTAATCTAAAAAAATTTACAAGTGTTTTGGTTTTATTTCTTAATAATAATAAAATCTATTGTTAAATCTTATATAAGGCTGAATCCAACAAAGTGAAAATTATTTTGTGATTTATTACATTTTAAAGTAATTCATAAAATATCTGAAAATGGAATTTTGATGAACTTGAAAACATACAGTATGTATTTAGTATATTTCTATGAAATCTTGAACTCAATTTGATGGAATTTTGTCACTGCGTTCATAGATATTTATAATTTCTCTCGTATTATTTTGATTCAATATTTTCATACTACTAGATATGACTTTTCAGGAATACATTCTTTGATTAACTTTTTTACTGAGCTATGTAAGTTATCTTTGACTTTTTGAGGTTATTTTCTTTTTATTCACTTCACATGGACTTCATGAATTGTATGAAGTGGTAGAAGTATTGAACTGATATCATTTTGTAAAAGTAATGAAAATTGACCAAAAATGAACATGCCAGTCGTTCTTATATTTTGTTTTGTTTTCTTTAAGTGTTCAGGATAATTGTTAGCACTGAAGTAACCTTATTACACTGAAGAAAACTGTACTAGAACATAAATAAGAAGCATCAATATGAATGGAGTTGAAAAAATGTTAGATGCTTGATGTGTACAACTATTTCGATCAACAGATAAACTTGTGCAAATCTTCACTCAATATATTTTTGACTGAGTACTTTTTATTAGATATAAATAATTAAACATAGGTTACTGTGTTGTCTGGTAGATGTTCAGATTATACGAAGATAATTCTTAAGGGTTTGTTAAACTGGTTATTTCAAGATATTCATTTACTTTTCTACTTAGATTAGAAGGTATGGTGTTTTTAAGTTATATTATTAAATACATATCTGGACATTACAAACTAGTAAAGAAAAGGAATATGCTTCTAATTAATTGTTCTTTTAAGAAACTTGTATTATTATTGTTGTTGTTGCAAGGCTATTCTAAAATTCAGTGTAACATCAAATTGCAGATGTGATCCTTAAAGTAGATTTTTGAAAGGAAATTTGTAATAACTTGTTAGTCACTGAATTTTTTTTAATATTTAAGTGTCGAATATGAAACTTCAATGTTAGTTTTAGTATTTGAAGTGTAAAATCTTATGATACTATTATGTATATGTATGTCTAATGGGAAAAATATTTAAGTATAAAATTTAATCAATCATTCTTTTTTCTTTGTTTGTGGTTAGTAAAATAACCTTTAACATGTACTAGAACTGGCAGGAATGAAAATCTAAATTGAAATGGGACTGCCAGTGTACCCCAGTAGTGGAAGGAATTGTAAGAACATTTCTTTTTCAGTGTGTGTGTGAAATGTTTCCCGTCTTTAAAGCACTTGGGGTTAAAAAAAAACGAACTAATGGTTGCTTCGTCTTAACTATTGTATTGTATTTTTTGTGACAATATGCAGTAATGTAATTTGTGGTAGATAAACTAATTAAAATTACAATACCTAGACGAAAGATAATAATTTGTATTATTAATGAATTAAGATAGTTTTGTGGGCCCCTTTTTGCATGACTTATAGATAAAAGGTGTCAAACTTTATTGAACTTCAGACACAAAACAGACTTTATTCTTATTAGTTTTCCGTTCCTTGATTTATAACTGTAAGCATTTTTTGCTGCATTTAAAATGTATTTTAAACGTCTAAAGTTCAATTAGTTGTCAGGTTATTTAGCTGTGAATTAAATGTTCTCATTATTATTTAGCATGTTCTAAACGATATAAAGTGGTTGGATCAGCTAGACATTTTTTTTTTTGGCAGGATAGAAAATGTTGCAGTTCTTATAATGAAAAAAAAAGGTTTATTGCATGGTGTGTTTTTTAATGAAAGAAAGATTCCATGTTGAAAATGAACTACTACAACAGGTGACTTAGTGTTACATGTGTTAAACGAAAGACTTAATAAGTTGCTAATGAACTGTTTTTTGTGTGTATTTTTATCATCAATTGTATTTTACACGTAGTGATTCTCCAGGTTTTTCAATTTTACCGTATTTGAAATATTTTCCTTGTATTAATTATTCTTGACTCGTTTTTTTTGTGATGTAACAATTTCTGAAAATCTACAGCAGAGCAGTATAGCACTAGATCATAGTTAATTGAAGACCTAGCTATGAAGTTGGTTTTTGTAGGACTTTGAATGTTAAGTTTTCTATTTTCTTCTAATTAAGAATTAATATTCACTCTTAAACAGTTCACTGCAATAGCAGACAGGCACTGTGTATGGGTTAGAGTAGTTAAAGCTTGCTGGAAGTTTGAATAGAATGGAGAAAATTTATTGGCTGAAGAGATGTATATTTATGAGTGTTGTGTTGCCAGTTGTCAATAAAGTTTTTGTGCCACAAAATCTGATCGAATGAAACCGTTTTCCTTTCCAGAATTATAAATTTTAATTATTCTAAACTTATATGTCATTTGTGAAAAAAAGGTTTTTTTGAAGGGTGATCCTCATAATGCTTTTTTTCATTCTGACATTTGGCGAAATTTCATAGTCTTTATACATGTAGTGAAAAATTGTTGTTTTTTTTAACAGTAAATCTGTGATAAAAAAAGATTTAAAAATATTTGGCATTTTGAAAGAAAAAAAAAGAAACCTACTATTAGAAATGATTATATTCAGATAATTTTTTTTAAAGATAGTTTCATGTTAATGTCATTCCAGTAGTAAGATCAATTGTGAAAATATTAGAAACTTACCAAACCAAAGATTATTTACCCATTCAAAATTAATCTGGTATGTTTAGTTTATTTGTATTTGAGCTTAAAAACAAATGAACAAAAAATCAGTAAAAAAAGTGCAAAATTTAATATCATACAAAAGAAACTAATATCACAATGTAGGAAAAATTTGGACATTTTCATTAAAAAAATTTCACAAAAGAAAGAATTAATTTTACCAATGAAAAAAAAGCCTGATATGGTCTGATGATTAGGGCACTTGACTCACAATTGGATCTAAACTCATTGCCAAATATGCTTGACCTTTAAGTTGTGAGGGTAATGTAATGGCCAATCCCTCTGTTCATTGGTAAAAAGAGAGGCCCAAGAGTTGCTGATGGGTGGTGTTGAATGCAGGGTATCACTTTAAAATTATGGGTAGCTATCTCAGGTAACCATCAAATAACCCCTTTGAACCACTGTCTACGTGACTGCCAGAAAGTAAGACAAAACTTTGAACCACTGTCTACATTGAGGCTACCGTAACAAGCTCTGATCATTAGATGGTAGTTAATGATATATTGAGGCTAACATAACAAGCTCTGATCATTAGATGGTAGTTAATGATATATTGAGGCTAACGTAACAAGCTCTGATCATCAGATGGCAGTTAACGATACATCGAGGCTAACGTAACAAGCTCTGATCATCAGATGGTAGTTAACGATACATTGAGGCTAACGTAACAAGCTCTGATCAGTAGATGGTAGTTAATGATATAATGAGGCTAATGTAACATTAATGATATATTGAGGCTAATGTAACATTAATGATATATTGAGGCTAATGTAACATTAATGATATATTGAGGCTAATGTAACAAGCTCTGATCATTAGATGGTAGTTAATGATATACTGAGGCTAATGTAACAAGCTATGATCATTAGAGCTGTTCTATGAGCTGCTATGCCGCAGCTAAAAATTAGGCTGCTCAGTTTGTGCAAAAAAATTGATTCATTTCTAGTTGGCACAGAAATAAATCAAGTTCTTTAAACCACTGACTTCTTTTCATGGTAGGGATTGAACTATTGAAAGGTCATGCGAGACAAAACAATCTAGATAAAAGTCATACGTCAAGGTGCAGGATGAATTAACTGGCAGAATATGACAGTTGCTGGGAAATGTGTACGTAAAATTACATTAAAATCTTAATGTGATGTCACAGGTTTCCGACTAATTACCATACTCTGCCAGCTCAGACATTCTACATCATGAGACATGTTGTTTTGTAAATAACCAACACAATATTTCAACCCTGTCCTTTACAGGGAATCAAACCCTAGATTTTAGCATCATAACTCTGTAAACTTACTGCTGACCTACTTACGGACATACAATAAAATGATCAACTGAAGATGTTATCCAGTATGTAAGATATCCTTAATACCTTGTCCTACATTTATAAAGCACTTCAGGTGAACATTTAGTTACTGCAAGTCCAACTCAACTGACGAGTTCTCATACTGAAAAAAATGTCATTCAAGGAGTTATTTGTAAGAGATGAAAATACGAGTCTTAAATGTTCTGGTCTTGAGCAAAAGGCTTCGTAAACAGTGGCATACAACAAACACATTGTAGATAATATGTTGCTATATGCTCTTCTTACCAGAAGCCCTTATTGGACGAATAAAGAATGGTGTGGTTTAAATTACTATTGGTCTTATTGTAATGTAATACCACAGACATATTACCTGCTAAAGGTCACAACACATGAAACAACAATAATTTGTTTTGGTTCTTTCTGTGACATTCTATGTCCAATGTTAGTGACAAAGAACTGTGGATGCATATGACATTGTATAAATACATTCTAGGAACACATATAAGGAGAACTTTAAAGATTACAATAATACAGTGGTAAGTTGCAGTATACTCTTGTGTGGTCGCACGTTACAATAATACAGTGGTAAGTTGCAGTATACTCTTGTGTGGTCGCACGTTACAATAATACAGTGGTAAGTTCAAGTACGAGTTATAATTAAAATCATTTTATGTAGGTAACATTCATGTTTCAACAGTACATGTATGTTATATAGTTAAACATACAGGGTTTATATGTCAATAGTACAGTTTCTAAGTAGTAAAAAATACAGTTTTGTTATGACATTGACTTTGTCTAATATTATGTAATTGTTCTGGTACCTACCAAGATCTAATATTTTTTGATAGTACATGAAGTTATGTATAGTGTTTTTGATTAAGTGGTTCCACGAAATGTAGTGCTGGTATTGTGTAGTTCACTTAGAATCATAAGCCTACATCGATATTTGTGGTAAAAATTATGATTTTAACTTTTAATTATGCATGTGAACTTTATGTTGTCATAAATAACGAAGGTTGAAAAAAAATTATAGTTTTGACCAACAAAATGTGCAGGTGATATACACATAAGCCCAATACTTTAATGTGCAGGTGATATACACATAAGCCCAATACTTTAATGTGCAGGTGATATACACATAAGCCCAATACTTTACAGAAAACGTTTGTTTTCATACTTTATACACTTTTTCTTACAAACAAAGAATATCCATGTGAAAAAAACTAACAAGAAATGGATTTGGATCTATTGGTCTACTTACTACCAATAAGCATTCTTAGGAATTGTCTTTTAGAACTGTAACATGTTATGATTGGTTCATACTTGTTTGGACTGACCAATAGCTGTATAAAGAGAAGAAATTTGCTTCCACGTAAAAACTGACCATGTGAACCTCTGGTTAACCTTAATTTGACATTGATCACTTAATGTTGCGAACCCATTTTCTTAGAACCCCAACAACCAGTAATAATTATATAGATTGATGCTTTACTGCCCTCTTGTGTTGAAATTAGTTAATACAGCAGCCTTTAGCCTAAAGATTCATTTGTACCCGAGAAACAGTAATATGTAATTTTTAATGTATAGATTCTGTTTCGAGCACTACATTTTCAAAATGTGATGTTCAAATAATTTTAATTCTTTCTGTCATCAGAAAAAGAGAGATTTGATTATATTTGATGTTCTTGTTTTTGTTGTTTTCAAGCAGTATTTACTGAAGTTCTTTACTACATTTTAAAAAATAATATTTATGTATTAAACTCAAGAAACTGCAGAGTTGTACGAAGCTTTGTCTGATTCTGATTTTATAAACTATACATAATTTGTGACTACATTAACACAACTGATGTTGAACATTTCAGGGAGAAATTAAAATTCCTGTTGTGATAGAAGAGGAAGTACCGCGAGTCCTGCCACCAGGAGCACTGCTTTTTCGTCCATTGCGACAGTTAGTGTATGCCATTGTGTTTAACCTTCACCACATGCAATTCATGGCTAAGCAGAAGAAGGACCAAGAGGGGAAGGAAGGTACAGAAACTTGGTTAAGGACCATGCACACAGCTTAACTTGTAGAATGTTTAGATAAAACAAAATCACAGTTTTTAGTTTTTGATAAAGTTTGACTAATTTAGAAGAAGTCTGTCTGGATGTTAGTTTAGGAAGATTTCAGCAAGATGTAATTTTGTTGGTGATGTGTGTGTGTATTTTTATGTGTATAAACAGATGGTTTGTATGATGATAGACTAGATCTTTTTGTGTTTGTGTGTTTCTTATGGTTTAGTTTTGATATTCAGAAATGTCCATTTTTTAATGATGTTTGCATTAGGTTTTTATATCAAAAAGTTTTCTTCCTTTTCTGACAACCTCCATTATTTTTTAATTCATATGGAGTCATGAAGTTTTCTTTTGTTCATCTAGTGGTCCTTGCCTTTCAAATAAATTACATGTGTATTTATTACTCTTGCAAACTGTAATTGCAGAAACAAAATATGTAATATTAATAGCTTTTTAGCATTAACATCATTGATAACTACTTTTAGTTTACAACCTGTACAGAAGAAACACCTTTTTTATGGTTTGTAAGATTTTAGGATTCATATTATACAAACAGCCAGATAGGTCTATTTGATCAAGTTGGGTAAAAGACAGGGTTTATTGTGAACTAGTTATTGTTCCAGTTCTCTAAGATACAATTAAAATAATTCTGCTATAAATGTATGTAATTTCTGTTGCTTCAATTAAATAAACACCCCTCCCTTTTCCATAATATCTATTTTTACTTGAAAATAGATAAGGAGAGACTTAAAAAAAATATTGATGGAAATAATAACATAAGGTTTAAGATTATTGTATCAAAGAAGTGAAACTTGAAAATTTTGCTGAGTATTTAAATAAAATCATGGGAGTGAAACTAAATAATTATTTTGTTTTATAAAAGTGATTTTCTACTAAAAACCAAAGTCTGAATGTTGATATTATGCATATTTTATTATGATTCAAGTCTTCTAGATTTGTTAAAAAAACAACATTTTAGTGATGTTTTTTTTAATTGTTGACTTTGTTCTTTAGAATCCTGTCCAGTGCTAGTAAAGTATTCATTTTTAGTCTGACAATCCAGTCAGACTGCTCGTAACTCATACTATACATGTTTAAATAATGACATGAAATACCATCCTACAACTTGTTACACTGCCATCTGTTAGCTGTTTATTAATTCCATTTGTTTTGCAAGATTCCTTAATATGTGTACAATACAATACTGAATTATGTCTTTTTTTGTTTATGTTACTTAACTTTTAAAGTGCAGTGTTAAAGAGAACATACCTTTTTTGTGTTTCCCAGAAAAAGTTCCTGATGTAATTGTGAAAGAATGGACTTGGAGTAAACATAAGCAGTACAACAGTCCTGACCTTGTCCCAGCTATGCCTTTGGGGTGGGCAGTGCCGACCATCCAACGTTTATGGTTTGGAGCAAGCCCTGATGAGAAGAAGCGACGTATGAGAGCTTTTTTAACTTGCATGAGAAGTGATTCTCCACTGATGCTGAACACATCGTACGTGCCACAGCATATGCTAGTTATGTGTTGTGTACTCAGGTAATATGTTTTCTTTTAATTGCTTAGAAGTGAAGTACATTGTTGTTTAAGTAAAAAAAACTCTTAAGTGGTTTAATTTAATAAAAGAAACGTGAAGACTTAAAAATTTATTTAAGTACAAGTCACTGAAATAAAATTATCTCCTAATTAGGTCATTAACTTTGTTTATAGAATATTTTAATTCTTACCTTAAAGTTTTGAAATAGTTTTGAGATAACTGTTATCTCTCAAAATGTCAGTGTTGTTACAGAGTAGTTAAAAAAACAAACCAACAAAAACACCGATTTCCTCTATCTTTAATACGTATAGATACATTATGGCCGATGAACGTCCAATCCTGAGGAAACAAGAGTTGGATGCTTTTCTAGCCCAAGCAGTTTCACCTCATCTCATGAATGCCCAGTTTACTCAGACCATGCAGGTAATTTTCATCATTATATTATTGTTTTTTTTTCTATTTCTTAAATCTGATTCGTTTATCCTTATTCTTATTTTCATTATAACCCTAGTTATGAATTAACCACTGGAACACAAATAATAATGTTTTGAGAAATATTTTAGGTATTAATGGTTAATAATAATAAAATTACTCATCATCTTTAATAATTTTTTTAAAACAATAATTATCTAATTCTATTCATTTAGAAAACAACCGAATTTATTGTATGTTATGCATAAAATTTGTTTTTACTGTTTCATCTATTCATCTTTATATCCATTCAGCTACCGATTATTACCAACAGAGGTATTGAACTTGCAGCTATGTTTATGCAAGGTGTTGAATGTGCACTTTTTGCTAATGATGCTTGTGGTTCTCCAATCCCGTGGCTGATGTGTTGTCCCTGGCTTTTCTTCGATGGCAAATTATTTCATCAGAAACTTCTGAAAGCATCAGGAGCCAAAAATCTTGTTGATGTCTGTGATGGCCAGGTTAGTTTCAACATTAAAGATTCCTGTTAATTCGAGACTTTATTTGTAGGAATATTCTCGTCTTTTTTCTTCATTTACATGTTCTCGTTAAGTGTCATAAACTGAATACTAACTACTGCTTTGTCTAATAGAACTTTGGTCAGTACAATGCATGGTTTAATAATAGGATAAACTGAATAATAACTACTGCTTTGTCTAATAGAACTTTGGTCAGTACAATGCATGGTTCAATAATAGGATAAACTGAATACTAACTACTGCATTGTCTAATAGAACTTTGGTCAGTACAATGCATGGTTTAATAATAGAATTAACTGAATACTAACTACAACAAGTTTGTCATCAAAGGTGTGTAAAAATAGTATTGCATACTTTCTGGGTGTCACAAATTACTGCCTTAGAGGCCTTTTGTACAATACCAAAAACATATCTGGTATGTAAAATATGCTTAATACCTTTTACTACATTTATAAAGTATTTCAGGTATAAATTTAGCTGCTGTAAATCCAACTTGGCTGATAAGTTCCGATATTGAACAAAAATGCCTTTTGTGTATTGATTTATATGAGACAACAAGATGGGCCTTTTATCGTAACTGTGTAAAGGAATAGGAGACATGTAGCATAAACTTGAGACTGAAAAGTAAATCTTGCGACTGAACAAAAATGACAAATCAAAATTACGAGAATGAAACTCGCATGTATAAATAGATTTTTCTTCTTCTTGTGTCAGTAATCCAGTGTAGGTTCCTAGAATAAAGCAAGATGCCTTTTTCTGTAAATGATAATTCAAACAGTAGTTTCTTTATAAGTTTCAGTATAATAAATTTTAACAGAATCTCTGCTGTTATGTACTTTTGTGGCAGAAATAAACTGTTTATTCCTCTAGAGAAAGGTTAACTCCACTATTCCAAGCCAATGTTTTTTATTAGAGCTGAATATGGAATATTAATCAAATAGGTTTAGATCATTTTATGACCACCCTACGAGCTGTTCTCTCTTTGAAAAGGATCATGCAAAAATAATTTTATGTAATGTAAAACTATTTAAATGTTATCTTACAATTATTAAAGCTTTTCCTGCATCTCCTTTCATTTTTAATAATTAGTTTTGGCATTTTTTGAGCCTTATCAAGTAAACTTTGTTTGCTCTGAAAATAAACTTTAATCTATTTTAATATAAATTTAAAAAATGAAAGACACATTTTTTGGGGAAACATTTTTAGAGAAGACAACTTATCATACTACTGTACATGAGTTTTCATGATTTTTGTCAGGTTGTGATTCATTGGTAATGTCAAGAGCTTCTGTTACACTTTACTATCTGGCATTGAGTGACAAAAAATTTATTGTGTACATTTGTGAAAACCCTTTAAAGGTAAATTTACTACAACATATCCAAACAAACCACAAAAGTGAAGCCTGTGGTTGTGTAAGAGAACCTTTCACCCCAAAAAGGGCATTGCGTTGAAACTGGTGCTGCTAACAAGATAATAAGGATCTGAAGTTGATAAAAGCTTATAAGCTACAAAGTTCCTAACTTTTAACCACATATCAAAATCAACTGTTGTTTTTTTCTTGAAAACATTTGTCAGTAAAACTGTAATCCCATTCAATCACCTATTTTATTAAAATTCCCTGATCCAATTCCAGAGGATGTTTCAACCTTATTTCCTGTTTGAATGTAGTCTTGTAATCCATCATATATTTACACTGGAAGTTCTTGGAAAGTGTCTAAGATTTGCCTCACCATCCTGAAATTGTAGCATTGGGCAATATTACATATAATCATAGGCATCAGGTTGACTGCAACTGATAATGGAGGAAGTAGTGTTAAGGTCATTATAGGGCCTAGAACGTTCTTATAAATTGTGATTGGACTGACATGAACGACTTTGAAACATGTAGGGTGCCTTTTTATGACTGTTTTTAAATATAATTTTAATTGTATATTATACAACATTGATCGTTGAGTCTTTTAATATATTTTAAATATTTATACAAGTTTCCTTGAATTTTATCCACTACTTGGACCTAACCAGGAAAGAGGACAGAGTGCTCCAATTAAACCTCCTACTGATACTGTTTAAAACCTGTAAACGCTTTATATTTTTATTATCTGAATTTGGGACATTTTTCATTATTCAAGGGGCTCAATGTTAAGGTTGGTATGCGGTAATTCAAGGACAAACTTGTATTTCCACAAAAAAGAAAGAGGTCGAATATGCACAAAGATAGGTGTAGCAGTTTTTTACAGGTAAAATGAAAGAGACAGGACATGGTGTTAAATTAAAGATGAAAACGAAACATTATATTGAAGCAATGTATATGGTGACTGATCATTGGGTAGTAGTAGGATTATTTCAAATAAAAGAAATGTAAATAGATAAAAAAGAGTTGAACTGTTTGTAAATAAAGAGAATAAATAAGGTAAATCTGTACTTTATTAGCTAAGATTTTACTAAGTTCTGGCCCTTTCAAACGAAAGATGGGTTGTCCTCATAAACTGGAATGAACCTGATTTGAAAACAACAAAACTGCATTCATGATACATGTTCTCTTTGTAGCTGACCAATCAGAAAACAGGTTTCAGAATTTAGAATTTTCTCCGCTTTTTATGAAAGTTGGGAGGTACCTTCCGTCGACAAGACCAGGTAGAAGACATTGTAAATTTTCCATGAAATAGGCTGGATTTACACACTTAGGATGTTACAAATCAGAACTTTGGAAAATTCAAACATTTTCTATTTATGAAATATGTAAAATAGGAGAGTAAATAATTTTCTATATCATTTTTCCATTTTATTTGTTTGAAACTTATTAATATTAGCTTATATTATGTTGTTTTGTAAGAAACTTTATGACAAGCAGCTAAATCTGTATTAACCTACTGATTTTAAAATAATACAAATGCACATGTTTTATGGCACTGACAGTTCCATATTTAAATTGTCTTAAACATGTTATTTTAGAATTTATATCTCATTTTAGAGTATCTGAAGTTTGTTTATATGATTACATTGTGAAAATTGTGTTTTACATTTCTTTAGATTGATCAAGTGTCGACAGTTGAGCGGATGCGAATTGCTGTCTTAGAAGGTCTCAAGCCACAATTTGCTCGGCCTCCTCTACTTCCAATGGAATATCTTGGTCCAAATATATCTAATTATTCGCGCAGTCAGCCTCCAAGTATTAATATACCTGGACCCAACCGAGGAAGAGGACGGGGTGCTCCAGTTAAACCTTCTACTGGTACTGTTTAAAAAATATGTTATTTCTTATTTAATTTCATCATTATCTCTCTCTCTCTCTATCTTTATGCTATTTCTTTAAACTTGACTGATATTAGAACTGTTTGATCATTGCAGCAACCAATAACAAATTAATTTTGAGATTTTATACAAACTTGCTGTTGGAAGAGTGATTTGCTTAGTATGATCTAGTTTACTCAATTATATATATATTTTTTTTCTTAGATGCTCGTCACATGATTTCTAATGGTGGACAGTTAGAAGTAGCTGGGGTTGTTGTTGGGAGCTGGGGTCCAAATTATGGTAGATTTCCTCATTCTCGGAATAGTTCCATGCCTCGCCAAGTTGGTACCATGGCTGGGATTCGAAGGTAGAAAATATTTCGTACTACTTCAAGCTGAAAGCTGTAGATATAAATTCCAAAGGTCTATGAGTCTGGAGGTATCCAGAAATTCAAGAGCTCTTCCGGAGGATCTGTGTAACGTGAGCTCAAAGATGTAGAAAGTTTAAAGGATGATTTAATATTGGTAGCTTGAAAATATTTTGAATTCTAATCAAAAGTGGCTGTATTGTGTTCATTAACTCTAAATGACAAAAAATGCTCATAAAATTCAATCAGAATTTGGGGAAGAAGGTTCTAGAAATTTCTTATAGTTGTACAGTGGGTTGAATATGTTATATTAAAATGATTTGGAAGTTCCTTCAGATCATTACAGTCCATGTGGATATGTTCAATCATGCTCTTTCTGATGACCTGGCATCTTTAGAATAGCCTTGGGGTGGAATTTCCGTTGAAAAATGCTATCATGTCCAAATCACACCATTCCTTCCCTCCTACTGTACATTATCCATCAAGCATGCGAGTATGATAGTTTTCCAGTGCCAATTTCAAAATTCCAATCACATAGAGATTCATAGGTATTGTAACTAGAGAATTGACTAGTATAGAATGGCATAACTACTCATTTCATACTCCAGCTGCTTGGAGTATGTAATGGTTGAATGGGTGGTATATGGATGTGACTGGAAGCCTTATCTTGGTGAAACCATATCCTGTTTGCCTTATTTCCAAGAGAATTTTCTTAATTGTGTTGTGTACTGTTGCCTGGGGAATATAGGTGACCTTTGTGTTCGTGGATTCTCATCTGTTACAAGATGCCACATTTTATTTACCACATCTGGAGTACGACTTGTTACAGGTGTCTTCTTGGATGGTCCATATTCCTTTGTTTTCCAATGCCATTAAGTACAATCAGTATCACTGTCTTGAAAATCGGAAATTTCCTATTTGAACACATCTTTATGATCTGAGTGTATGAATATCTTACCTCAGAAAGGACTGTTACATACCCTTCTCAAATGCAATCAGATTTTGGTTGTATCACAATTCCTAAGAAAAGCCAAACAAAGTCAAAATGTAGCTGTTATACATGGTGTTCCATCACAACCTTATACCAGCTGTGGTTGTCATGCGGCTTCCAAATTTGCATATTCAAAATCATTTTAATATAACATACTCAACTCTGTAATTACATATAAAATATTTTGTTAAGGAAGTATACTGGAAGTTTGACTATATTCAGATATATTGGGCTGAAAGATTTAATCTTGTAGATTTTTAGTTAATGTGTAATTATTAGAATATTAAATTGTGATTTTACAAATTGAAAAGTTTTTATTAAGAAGTTTAGATATACATTTGGGCAAAGTACGTAATTTGAGAGCTGAATATAAAATTATTTTAAATTGAAGTTGTTGAAGCATTAAACGAAATGAATGAAATTACACAAATTATTTTAATTATAAGAATTAATTGGAAATTAATTTGTTTATACCTTGATGTTTATTTTATTATACAACTTTTAATGAAGGTATGGTGCTTTTACAACTCCTAAGGGGCGTGGATGCACGTATCGTCAAGTTTCCACAGCTAAGTTTTGTAACCCAGGTTTGGCTGTAAGTCTTATCTCACTTCATTGATACATTGATACAATGTAGAAATTCTAAGTGTATTTTCCCTGTCAACCATTTTGAAACATATTCAGTACACTTTATGTGAAAGTACGTATTTGTTGATTGATTAGAGTATTTCCTGTACAAAAAGAAGATTTGATCAGAGAAATTGTTCTTAAGTGAACTAGGAAGATTTTCAGTGAGGTACTATCTCTGAAAAAGTGGTGTACTAAGCAATAGTCAATAGAAATCGGTAACTGATTTATCTACTGGCAGTTTATTTTTAGCAGTTTACAAAAAAGATCACTCTTAAGTATGCACAATAATTTTTGATGTGTATCAGTGATGACGTAAAGTATTAATGTACACAGATTTTATGTGTATAAAAAGTTTCGGGCATTTTTATGAAAGTAAAAATATTTTGTATGAAGCTTACAAACTTTTTCTCTTATACATAAAATCTGTATTTTCAACCTTGTAATGATAAATTTTTTATGCAGTCATGTATTTTGTTTTTAAATAAAAAAATGTTAATTTTATTATTATTATTATGGAAGAGTATGATCGGTTGATTCAATTGAATTGATAAGTTTTTGAAATTCGTAAAACTTAAGCCGTAACTCACCACTTACAATGCCACTAGAATTGATTTAGGGTATTGTATGAAACTTTTATTTGAATCTTTCAAGTTAACTTTCTGTGGTTAAAATATCAATATGTGCAGAGGCAAAAAATGTAAGGTTACAGATCATATTGCATTACATATAATGTTTTAATTTACCTTTATCTGTTTATAGGATTTTTTTGAGATGATTGAAACAAACTTCACTGCAAACCTATTATTGTGTGTGTTCTGAAGTACAATCCTTGCTCCTCAGTGTTACTTATTACTGAATATTTAACGGTATTCCAAGTGCTCTGCTGTTGGATGCAGCCACGTCGATGACACAGGCCTGCAAATTTAAACTTCATAAAAGTTGTTTGGGTTTTAATCATGGCTTTTCCATAATTCAACTACAGCACATTTTGAAAATAATATTAATTTTTTTTCTATCACATAAGGATTTTTTACAAATCAGGAAGAAAAAAAAAATCTTACTTAGATCAAATTTTCCACAAATATAACAGAATGTGTTTGGGTCATTTACACAATCTCTTGTTGCCATAGCAACAAATAAATAATATTGAAAACAAAACATAATGTCGGAGTGCACGCACAAACAAATACTATCCAGAAATGACACATGATGCAGCCTGTTAACCGTTTATATATATTAGCAGGGTGTTTCTCATGGATTCTATAACGATCAATAAGACTCTCACGTCGCGATTCATCTACAGAAATCTATAGCCAATGGTTGTCAGCATTTTAAACATAATAAAATGTGACCCGATTTCAATGAAAATGATTCACTTATGTAAAAGTACATAATACGTTTTGTGAACAATCTCAACAAGAAGGAGAAACCTGGATATCATTTTCGGATACAGCATACAGGAATCACTGTAGAACGTGTAAAGCTTTCTAGATAATAAAACCATCACAGGCCTGTGTTATTAGCCAACTTGTGGGTGAGAGTATCCAGTTATCAACGAGTTCTTGTCCAATTTGAAGGGGTCAGTGTTTTATCTCCCATATATATTAGGGCAGCGTTTTTACTTCGTATGCTGTGAAGGAAATGTAAATGCTGCTAATTTTGTTTTGTTCTTTCATTGTTCCGCTCATTACTTCTTCAAGTCAGAATTTGGTGAATTAGGTTTTATTGGTGGCTTACTTGAATTGGCTAATTCTTCCAAATTATTTTAAGGTCAAGCATGAACGTGCGACCACACAAGAATAATACAGTGGTAAGTTGCAGTATACTCTTGTGTGGTCGCACGTTACAATAATACAGTGGTAAGTTGCAGTATACTCAGAAGGGAAATAATAGTACAGGTCAGTTTGTCATGGGGAAAAAACAGAAGGGAAATAATAGTACAGGTCAGTTTGTCATGTGGAAAAAAATTATTATGATAATGTGAAAGTTTTAATTTCCTTCTTAACTCTTAAAAAGTTTTTGTTATTTTATCATAAACATATTATTGATGGATCATTGTAAATATATGTGAATATTATATTTTAGATTTGGTTGGTGATTAGTTTGTTAATACACTACATTTAGACAAAATTTTGTATAAAAGCTAATATGAAATCTTTTTTTTTTAGTAAATTTCATGTTTCACTGTAATGTTTTTATGATTTAGTTTTGATTTTTCATGTAACATAATTTTGCTTGATATTTTAGTCAGAAAAACATAAACATAGCGTAGCTTAATTTTGGGTTTGATAAATAGTTTGTAAAAATTGAAAGGATAACACTAAGAGCCAGTTAAAAGAAAAATATCGCTGTACAGTTTTCCTGGAGTAAAAAATAAACAATGAATATAATATACTGTGGGCTGCTTGGTACATTGGTAGGACAAGCTGTGAGTATTATATCTTGTTGACACATCTATAATGTTAACACACGATTACATGAGAAAGTAAACATTACGCACTTGAAGTAGCTTACGTGAGTCAGACATTGCTCGGCTGATAATGCTTTGATAGGTATAAGTGTACAAGTTATGTGTGCTGTCTGGAAGCTTCTTTGTAATAATCGTATTATATATTTCCATGCTCTGTCTTAATGAAACGTCCGTTTCTGTCTCCTAATCCTAACATTTTCACCATGAAGAAAGATAATGCATCAAAACCGTCAGTTCTCTTCATCTTAAACTCCTTGATCAGATCCTTTATAATGTTTCTTTTATCAAGACAAAACAATTTCAGAGACCTTAACCTGTTCTCGGATGACAACCTTTCTATCCCAGGTATCATCCTAATAGTGGTCTTTGAACCCTTCCCAACAATTCAATTTTTTATTCTAAGCTAAGGAGCCCAAGACTAAACACAGTACTCCAAATGTGGTCTAACCAATGACCTATACAATGAAGTTGTGACATGTTTAGGCTTGTATTCAGTATTTCTGTAGATACAATCTAAAAATGTAGCACTTAGATGGCTGATCAACAAGAACATCAAAATGCTTTTCTTCTGTAAAAGTGTTAAGGTTATTTCCATTAAAGTTATAATTCAACTTATGATAACCCACATGTATTACCTTAAAAAAGTTGGCACTTGAAGCACTTAACAGAACTAGTTATCAGTAGGCAAAGTATGCAGTTGTAGCACTTAACAAAACTAGTTATCAGTAGGCAAAGTTGACAGTTGTAGCACTTAACAAAACTAGTTATCTGTAGGCAAAGTTGACAGTTGTAGCACTTAACAAAACTAGTTATCTGTAGGCAAAGTTGGCAGTTTTAGCACTTAACAAAACTAGTTATCAGTAGGCAAAGTTGGCAGTTGTAGCACTTAAAAAATCTAGTTATCAGCAGGCAAAGTTGGCAGTTGTAGCACTTAACAAAACTAGTTATCAGTAGGCAAAGTACTGAAACTGTACATTGGGCCCTGGAATTGTTTATATGTTGTGTCTACATAACATAGATAGTTTTAAGTATTAAGCTATTGGAGTTATACTAACTAAAAGGGGGAAAATTGAGAGCACTCGCAAGTTGTGACTGTGAAGGTTGAGAAATTTCTTAACTATTTTCTTTTGAAACCAAGAGATTAAAACGTAGATAATATAAACATTTGAGTTAAACCATATTCTGATGCTAATTTTTATTGACAAACATTAATAATAAAGCTGTTTAATTATATTTTGAATGTGTAATTACGAAACTGTGCAATGTTGTGACAGGTGATGAAGTGCCGTCACCATAGGGTTAAAAGCTGCATGCCATTTATCTGTGTAACTTGCCAAATAATTTAAATCATTTTGTAAAGCAGCAGCATTATCCTAAGAACCAGAAACACACACAACTTTAATATCACCAGCGAGTTTAAGTAGTTTATTGACTATTCCTTCATCTACGTCATTGATGTAAACTGAAAACACCGAAGGTTCTAACACTGAGGTACCCCACTTGTGACGTTAATCCAGTTTGACTGAACTCCATTTATAACCACTCTCTGCTTTCTTCCATCCAGCTACTTTTCTATATAATGAGCCAATTTATCCCCCATACATATGGAGAAAATGTTTTTAACATGCCTATTATGTGGCACATTGTCAAATGCTGTATGAAAATCCAGATACACTAAACTGACACCCTTACCTTCATCTACATAAGCAGTAACCTCTTTAAAAAATGACAAAGGATTTGTAAAGGTGAGATTTTCCCCTAGAAAAACCACATTGACTATCCAACAAAAATTTGAACTTTGTTAAATGACTTTGCAAAGCATCTTTTATCATGCTTTTAAAATTTTTTCCAAAACTTATGTAAGTCTAATAGCCCCATAAATACTGGGACAATTTTTGTCACCTTTCATGGAAAGAGGAGTAACATTAGTTAACTTCCAATCTTTTGGCATCTGCTCAACATTCAAGGTCTTGCAAAAAACAGTAGCAAGTGGCTCACATAAAATCCTTACCCTCTTCAAAAGCCTTAGGAAAATATTACCTGGCCCAAGAGCCATATCGTTCTTTAAACTTCCCAATTTTTCTTTAATTAGCTCAGAATTAATGTTCGATATTTTCATCTATCAACTGTTCAGGATGAGGAATTTTGATTAAATCTTCATTAATAAAACTTGAAGGAAAATTAGAATTTAATAACCCAGCCACTGCATTTTCATCAGATATTATAATGTCTTCCAGTATCATCCCTCAAAGGCCCTACTCCAATCCTGACATTTTGCTTACTCGTAGTGTATTTAATATAATTCTTACTGTTAATTTTTACATTTTCAGCCAACCTTTTTCCATATACTATTTTTGATTTCCTAAATTGACCAATTATTTTTCTCATAGCGGGCAGTTTAAATTTAAAGTTAATTTCTATAAGCTCCACTGTTTTTTCTCTACATTTTACAGGTATTAGTAACAACAGAACAATAATCCTTAAGACCAACGTCTGTTCAGAGAATAAACTGACTCTGGCTATAAACTTCTGATGTGCATTGCTCTTTATTTTTCACCACACCAAACAGGTTCAATTAGTCCATCTCGAAGCGTTAGTGGTGGCTTGTTACCAATTCCTAGTACCCCACCTTGCAGCAATGACTCCAGCTCTAATTATACTAGTTCTCAGATTGCGTGGACTTCTCATCAAAAAATTAAGGTAACTGTTCTGAGTTTGATATTACAATTAAAAACAAAGCTAGAAATTTAGGATAAAACATAAGCAATAACACTTATCTCTTCCATTTTTTGATCGGCTTGAAAATATATAATCTATTTAAGTTTAAAAATAAAAATCACAAAGTTTTAAAAGAATTTCAAATCTTTACTTAATTGTCTAGAATATTACTGTTTCCATGATATATGTATTGTTTTTGCAGAATATTTTGCAATATTAACAAAGTTTTTAACAATGTTTAGTTTTTGTTTCTTTAAATGTCATTTGAAGGGGCATCCTCCCCTGTTTTGTTTCTTTTATTTGTTACTTTAAGTACTATAATAGTAAGAGATTATAAGTAAAGATTCAGATTGTCAATATATTAGTGATCTTCTCATGCTAGTGAACCTGGTCTGTCATTTTAAATCATGAGAAAACATCTTTTTGGCAATTGTCATGTTTACTGTGCTTATCATAGTTGTTCCTCATTCACTCAAGTTCATTGTAAGCTTTCACCTTTAATTCTGAAATATTTTACATTTTTTATTCAGACCATTCTGTTGTTAGTCAGACTTGTTTTTGCATCTCTCCAGAGGACTTTAACACTAGGCATCCAGTTGAGGACTTGAGAACCCCTATAGTGTGTGTAATGTTCTAAAAACCTACAAAAAAGTGCTTAGTATATCCATTAGTCAAAAAAAAATGATTTTATGTTTTGTTTTTAGTATGAATCTAATTGTCATTTCTATGATGAGATCCACTTTCTAATCTGTATTTTTCTTAACAATTAAAAGTTAATGCAGTACTGTATTACTAATTCTTTTTAAATCAACAGCAGAACCTCACTGATGGCAAAGTTGTGGAAGTGACTACAAGTGGAGCAGAAAGTCCTAAACTTCCTAGAGTTCCTCCAGAAGTAATGAGAACAACTAAGGAACGTCACCAGAAGGGGCTAATGTCTCCGTGGATATATCAACTACTTTCTCAGGTGAACTTGTTTGTGGAACTAAACTTGTTTTAATTCAATGATAAACAAACTTAATAAATTATACAGATAAAACATTTGAGTATTTTAGTATAAGGTGCTTTTCAGTAGTGTCTACCTCGGGTAAAGTTTCTCAAGAAACTTGGTGTCTACCTCGGGTAATATTTCTCAAGAAACTTGGTGTCTACCTCGGGTAATATTTCTCAAGAAACTTGGTGTCTACCTCGGGTAAAGTTTCTCAAGAAACTTGGTGTCTACCTCGGGTAAAGTTTCGCAAGAAACTTGGTGTCTACCTCGGGTAAAGTTTCGCAAGAAACTTGGTGTCTACCTCGGGTAAAGTTTCGCAAGAAACTTGGTGTCTACCTCGGGTCAAGTTTCGCAAGAAACTTGGTGTCTACCTCGGGTCAAGTTTCGCAAGAAACTTGGTGTCTACCTCGGGTCAAGTTTCGCAAGAAACTTGGTGTCTACCTCGGGTCAAGTTTCGCAAGAAACTTGGTGCTACCTCGGGTCAAGTTTCGCAAGAAACTTGGTGTCTACCTCGGGTCAAGTTTCGCAAGAAACTTAGATTTTTCTGTTAGGCAGCTTTATTGTTGCATGAAGAAAAACAAATATGGTAGTTAGTTTTTATTTTCAACTTTGCTGCCTTATTAACAGCTTAACTAGCTTAAATAATTCAATATACATCTTAAGTCTACCTCATATTAAGTCATTAAGTTTGTAGACAAAACAATGCCAAATTTATTTTGGCTCTTATTTTTTTGCCATTTGATAAAAAAATTTTGTAGACACAAACTTTAAAATTAATTTTATATGTTAATTCTAATTATATTTTAATAATTTTAAATCAAAAATATTTCTCAATCAACATGTTGTCGTTTTCTAATGTTTACGTAGTGTAATTCATAAAGAAAAAGTTCATATATTCTGTTCTACACAACTGCAAAGAGTTTTGCCATTTAATAAACAGTGCTCTAAACATACTTTTAGTGTGGTGAAAAGGTAATATTATAGTAGTGCTAATAATTCACTATCTGAGCTTGTTATGTGACTCAGTATAGCAACTGCTTTGAATCAGTGTTAGATCAGTTTAGTAATGTATTATGAGGTAAGTTGGTTACAGTATCTTAGGTTTTCTTGTTTAGTGAACTGAATCAGTGTTGGTATTAGATTGGTTTAGTAGTGTATTATGAGGTAAGTTTTGTATGTTTATGCTACACAACAAGTAACTGCTACATTGTCCATGGCCAGTTCTGTTAAACACTGTCATTAGTCTAGTAGGACTTAAAGTACTTTAGAACATGATATATATATATGTAGGTGTGCAGAAGAATTTTGAAATCCAAAACACGAACATAAACATGTAGTTCAAACTACTCATAAAGAACAGACACAACATATCAGAAAAATGTATGTATGGAGTTTTGTTTGTATGAGAAAATTATGCAGTATACTATTGTGTGGTTGCACGTTACATTTAAAGATGGTATTGAGACAGAGTGTGTTGCAGCTTGGGGATACGTTTCTGAGGGGAACGGGTGGTCCTGGATTGTCGATGTGACCCACGACACACAGAACTCTATTTAGTGTCTAAATGATGATTTATAAAGAGAAGGCTTGTGTTCAAAATGTAACTTTTAGTGCTTTTTCTGGTCTTTCTCTTTTCATTTTAAGTTTCTTGTTGTTCATGTTGATGTAACTGCATTTGAAACATTTACATTATGTTTCATAATTTATTGCTACATTTACATAGTGTATGCAAAGTATTTGTACAAATAAAACCGATGCAGTTAAGAAATTATTATACTCATGTTTCGAGAGTATTAGAAAATGAACGGTTTCTGTTTTAATGACAGATCAAATTATGTCGGTCAACTTTTGAAATATTTTTATTATAAACTATTAGTAATGTATTAATATTATTAACGTGAACATAAACTGTATAAGAATGGATGTATATCCAACTTAAAATCTTTCTCTCACTGACCAGTGGATACCTTTTCAGGTGACACCTACAGAATAAGTTTAAGCAAAAAATTGATAATTTTTAAATCTGTTGCTATAATCAATATTTTAGTTAAAGTATTTTATATTTAATATTTTGTCGCTTTGTATGATTTATTTAGTATAATTCACAGAGAAAAAAAAGTTCAAACTTTCATTTCTGTACAGCTGTGAATAACCTTGCCTGTAAACAATGTATTTATATATTTTTTATAGAATTTTTATACCCATCAAATGGGATAATAGGTTTATATTTGCTAAGAAACTAATATCTCTTGAAAATATATTAACTTGTATATCTTGTTTTTCGTGTGATTTTTCTTCTCTGTTAGTGGTTTTATTACTTTTGTTGCTGCCTTTTTTTTTGTGCTGAACAGTTGCTAATGAAACTCCGAAGAAATTTTAATATATTTACATCATCGTAGAGTAAATGTAATTTATCATTTCTCAAAATGTTGGTTATACAGAGCTCCGACATGAAAACAAAGTATTCTAAGGTACGACTTTCTTTTATCAGTAATTTTTGTTTCTAAAAATATTTTAATGTTAGATTATATATGTTTCAAAACCATTGGAATTTTTCTTATGACAAGATATCAGGTAGCAAGCTTAGTTAGGTTTAGCAAATATTGTAAGGCATGACAAATATTCCGATTACTTGTATAATTTTTTTATCAAATATTATTGTTCAGTTTATCGTATTCAAACACGATTCATAAATAAAGTAACTTGTTATTAACAGAAAACAAATCATACTCATAAGATTTAAATTGGATTCAACCACAAATATTAACAAAGATCATGATACTACTACTACTGCTGCCATGAACGTACTTGGAACACAAGTCATATTTAATGAAACTGATGCATTAACACTATTAGCATTGCTAAGTACTAGTTTTTCACAGTTTTGCTTTAACTTATCAATGTTAATTTTAATCTTTTCATATATTAGGTGATCCATCATACTCCAACAATTCCTTTTCTGTGTCCACTTCCAGCAGTGCCAAATTTGCCTCTGAAACTGAAGAGATTGAGGTTAGAGAAAAATATACAGTATGCTTCTGTAACGTTTAAAAATAAATATGCTTTTATTTGACATTGAAATATTTAATTACTAATCCTTCTATTGAATGGATATTCAGTATTCAATCATGCCAGTATGAATACTGTTCTTTCTTTAAAAAACTTTTTCCCTGTTACTTTTTTCACAAATAATATTCACTCTTTTACTTCATCCTGCTACTTGTCTTTACTACAACAAGTGTTAATGGTTTCTTCAGTGTGAAATGTGTAAAATTACCATGATTTAATTATATAAAACAAAACAGATCTCGAAGCAGTGGTGAACATTTAAAAAATTGCATAATAATGGCACTGTGGTAACATTATGATTCCTTAAATGTTTATACACTTGTAATTTTATTAATTTATGTATTTTTCCTTCAGATTTTGCTGTGTTTATATCTTTAGTCTTAAACCTTGGTTTCTAATTAGCTGTCTAGTTTGAGTGCTTATCATCAAGCCACTGGTCAATACGAGTCAGATAGTGCCTCCCACATAACAGCAGATCCTTCCAGCCAAAGCACGGGAGCATCTTCTAACAGCAGTGTACCATCTGCACTCAGTTGTGGTAAAAATGGTAACCACCAAGAACAGAAGGGAAATAATAGTACAGGTCAGTTTGTCATGGGAAAAAAACAGAAGGGAAATAATAGTACAGGTCAGTTTGTCATGGAAAAAAACAGAAGGGAAATAATAGTACAGGTCAGTTTGTCATGGGGAAAAAACAGAAGGGAAATAATAGTACAGGTCAGTTTGTCATGGGGAAAAAACAGAAGGGAAATAATAGTACAGGTCAGTTTGTCATGGGGAAAAAAACCAACAGATTTAATCATAATGGAAAACTATCATTCTCAACTGCCAACTGACTGATACTCAGGCAAAATGTTCAATTCCAGGACCACCCGTTCTCCTCAGAAACTTATCCCCAAGCTGCAACACACTATGTCTCAATACCATCTTTAAATCAACAGATTAAATCATAATGGAAAACTATCATTCTCAACTGCCAACTGACTGATACTCAGGCAAAATGTTCAATTACTTTAAAGATAACATAAATATAAGTTAATTTTTTGAAAGTACAAAAAGATTGTGTTTTAATATAGTATAGAAAACTTAAACAACATAAAAAAGTAGACACTATATATAAACTAAAAACATTCTTAGTAGAAGATACCTTTTGAAACGTGGGTCTGTTTAGATTGCCTTTGTTCAGAAGCAAGCTGACATCTGTCTACTCTGTAACATCCCCGTTCTTCCTTGTAACCTGGAATAAAATGGGCGATGATCATAACTACACGTACTGTAATGGGCGATGATCATAACTACACGTACTGTAATGGGCGATGATCATAACTATACGTACTGTAATGAGCGATGATCATAACTACA